GACAGTGTCTTTCCTGCCAGCGCGGCACACAGTGGGGTCTCCCAGGGACAGGAAACCCTGCCGTGCCGGGTAAGCACATTCTTCCGTGTGTTTCTATTGCAGAGGGCGCGAAATAAAGCTGGGCTGCTTGGGGGTGTGCTCCTATCGGGGACACGTATCTTCTAAGCGTAGATGCGAGACCGTGGTTCTGGCGTGCCCGGCGATAGCGTAGCTCAGCGCACGGCTTCCGGGCCCACACGTTCCCGAGCCCCTTTCCTCCTTTAATGGAGAATCTGAGGCCACAGGTCACAACGGTTAGAGGTAGAGCTGCTGAGCCAAGCCGAGGCGCCGATCTCCCTGGCGTGAACACGCACCGTTGCACGGTGAGCCCAGGCTGACGACGAAGTTGCGAGCTGGCTGCTCGCTTGGTACCGCCTGGAACAGACGACCGTTGTGTCACCTGTGCTGAGCGACCTGCGCCTGGCTTGGCACGTCACCAGCCAGCGCTCCGCTGACCTCGGGGCCAAGGCGAGCTGGCTCTCGGCACGCCAGCGCCACGGCCGCGTGGGATGCCCTTGGCTTCTTAGCCACGCGCGTACACGCTCTGGAGAAGTACGCGTGGACGCGCGGACGTTTTAAAAGATCTGACTTGCAGAATTCAAACTGACGTGCAAAGGGGAGAACTGCCAGGCGCGTGCGCTCCCTTGTCGCGGCCGCGTGCCTCAGGAAGGGCGGTGACGTCCTTGTCTTCCAGATGCTTCGTGTGCAGGCAGAGCAAACAGCAGCTGGAGGAGGAGCAGAAGAGGTCGTTGTACGGTCTGGAGAACACCGGTAATGTCTGGGCCGCGGACTCACCGTCACTGCCGTGTGTGTTGGGGTTTTAAGCTGTGGAACCTCTGAGGGCGCTGCGTCTTCCCGCTGTGCGTCCCCCCCTTTGTCGGTGGGCGCGTGTGTCCCTCTCTGCTCGCCTCCGGGCAGCAACATGGCTTCTCTGGACTGGGGGCTGGCGACAGTTCCTGTCAAGGGTTATACTCTCGTCTGTGGGCTTTGCCAGGCGCCGGGAAGGGGGTGGGCGCAGCAGCGTTCCAGAAACTTAGCTGTGGACGCTGACATTAGAGTTTCGTGTAATCTTCGTATGTCACAAGATACTGTTCCTCTGGAGTTTTGTAAACCGCTTACGAAGGGGAGAATTATTCTCGGCTGACACGGAATCGGGTGACAGGCCAGGCTCGGTGGCCCCCGCTCTAAGTTGTTCAGACGTCCCCACGTGAGGACCAGTGGCACAGCTGTGCCCTTTCGGAGGCGACCCTCCGGGCACGGCGGCCGGCACAGGGCCTGTGTGCTGGGGCCGAGGGTCAGTCCACGGGAGATCCGTAGGGATGGTCTCGGGACGCGTGCCCGCGTGTGACGTGCCGTCTGCGATGCCTTTCTGCTTCAGAGGAGGTGGAAGAGTGGAAGGTCGTCTGCGGGAAGTTCCTGGCCATCAACGCCACCAACATGTCCTGTGCTTGTCCCCGGAGTCCCCAGGGCCTGTCCCCGGCCGCCCACCTGGGGGACGGGTCTTCCGACCTCATCCTCATCCGGAAGTGCTCCCGGTTCAACTTCCTGAGGTTTCTCGTCAGGCACACGAACCAGTACGACCAGGTGAGTGGGGCCCTCGCCCTGCCCCGTCTGCGCTGGCGGGCGGGGTGCATTTGGGCAGCGTCTATGCGGGCAGCGTCCCTGCGGGTGATCCCTGACTGCCGTGCCGTAGGAACCCACTGCTGAGTCTCAGGGAACAAGGTCAGGTTTCTGGTCTGCGTTTCACCCATTGGAAGCTCCTAGCGTCTGCTCCTTCTGAGAGCTCGTTAAAGACACAAACCTCTTTCTAGCAAACCTTTCCGTAGTCGCTGGCATCCTTGTAGTTAATACAACGGCAGACCCCAACTCTAACGAGATAAGTGTGGGTTGGCCTCTGGTTGTAGTAAGATGTGTTTTCCTTTCTTTAAATTAAATTGCATTTCAGGTGTAGCATAATGGTATTTTTATGTGGTTTGTAAAACAGTGCTTGTTAAAAAGATGAAGAATTCTACAAGTCCCTACTAGGGAACTACCAGAATCTTGAGAAAGCGCCGGTCGCCGTGGACGCACCGGGAGGCGGGCGGCGGCCTTCACTTCGTGTCCGGGCTGCGGGCGCGCCGGGCACGGACGGGCCTCCCCCGCAAAAGCGCCTATAAAAGCGCCAGCCCCTTCCGTGTCTCTCTGCAGTTTGACTTCGCTTTTGTCGAAGTCTATCGCGTCAGGAAATTCCAGTTTGTATCGAAGCACGTGGAGGACGAGGACAGCGACCTCAAGGAGAGGGGGAAGACGCGCTTCGGGCAGATCTGCAGCAACCACCCCCCCTGCTGCTGCTCTGTGTCCAACAGCTCGTGGAACTGTGACGGGGAGGTCCTGAGCAGCTCCGCCATCGAGGTCCGGTGAGTGACGGTGGCCCGAGGGCGCCTCCTGGGGCCCCGTGGCCGCAAGCGTGAGGGTGCACTGTAAACGCGCGCGTGTGTCCACGCAGCCGGCGCCCGAGACCCCGCCATCGGACTCTGGGGAAGATGCCCGCGTGGGGACGGTTCCCGCGATTTCCCAAGCCCCCCCGCCGTGTCACCATCTTCTCTTCTCCCTGAGCCCCAGCACCAGCTTCTGTCCCTTTGCTCTGGCATTTTCTCTCTGTTCTCCTGATTACACACACAAGCCATCCTCCTTCACCGGGTCCACCAGGAGCCCCTCTGGCCTCGGGGAGCCCCGTCTGCGGCCGGCGCTGGACCCTGGCTCGTGGCCTCCGGGGGGCAGGCACCAGGCCCGCTCTTCCGGCCGCTGGCCTTCGGGCAGGGGGTCCTCTGCAGACCGGCTGGGGGTCTGCCATCTGATTACACGTGTCACACGCCCAGAGGGAGCACGAGTGCAGAGAAAGTCGTCGATCAGGCTGTCGAACGAGGTGAAGGTGTAAAAATGGAGTGAAGTTCCAAGGTCCTGGGCTGTCTGCACATGTCGGGGCGATCCTAGCCGCCTTGACGGAGGCCAGGCCACGCGCTCCTTGATGACAGAGTGCGGACGATGTGGGAGGCGACACGGAGGGGCCTGCAGCCCCGCACCCACGCCCACCCCTCCGATAACGTGCACGTCACTGTGTATAATCCCGACGTTAAATGGCTTTTCAGCCCGTGGGATGTGCAGTGTCGAGCCTCCTGCATCAGCATCCGGCCAGGCCGTCAGGAGAGGCAGCCTCAGCCTCATCGAGGCGCACGTCTGCTCACACCTGCTCCTGTGGCCACCGCGTGATCAGTGTGGCCGTGACTGTCCAGCTCAGATCCCAGGAGAAGGGGCGGGGACAGGACCACAGGGAAGCCCGCCAGGATTCGGCTTTTGTAAACACATTTTACAAGTTACAGAATTATTTTTGATGCTGGCTTTGGGATTTACTGGAAAAACAGGATACTTTGAAAATTAGGAAAAGCATTCTTTTATGAAATATATGCTATATGTCATGGTAAATATCACTATGCCTTGAGCAGCAGGTGACTTAGTTATGGGGTTTTTATTACTGAACATCTTTAAAAAAATCTTTTTTGTTCATTTATTTTTGAGAGAGAGAGAATCTCACACAGGCTCCACACCCATCAGCACGGAGCCGGACGTGGGGCTCGAACCCACGAACCATGAGACCGTGACCTGGGCCAAAACCAGGAGTCGGGTGTTTAACCGACTGGGCCACCCAGGCACCCCTATTACTGAACATCTCGGAGGAGGCTGTGACGTCATTAATAATTTGGGAAGGAGGCGCTGCCGGTGGGGACCGGACAGCCACGCTGACCGCTGAGCCCCTCTGGCTCCTCTCATCCTGGTGCATGCGGAAGGCGGGGGTCTCCAGGGCACCTCGGCCACCCCTCAGCCCCCTGGGCTCTGGCTGGTGTGGGGCCCCCTCCTCTTGGGCGACTGAACATCCCGCACGTCCTGGACAAGGGGGGTTGCCCTGCACGGAAGCTGAGAAAGCAGTCACCCAGGGATTTGTCACTTTGCTAAAGCGGGGTCTACAGGTGCCTGGGTTTTCTGTTGGCCCTCGGCTGCCCTCAGCTGCCCTGTCACCACGGGGTTGGGCCCAGAGACAGCCAGGATGAGACCCCCATCCCACCTCTACCCTTGACCGGCAGTGGGGCCAAGGGTCAGGGGGACACTGGGGGTGACACGGCGCCCTTTGTCTCTGCAGGGTCCACTGCCAGCTGGTTCGTCTCTTTGCACGAGGAATCGAGGAGAATCCTAAGGAAGAGTCACAGAGCTGAGACGCTGTCACGCATCACCTGCCTTGCCATGATTGGGAACCGTGACCGTTATTTAAGAAAATTACTGCAGACCGACTACGTTGATATACACATTTAAATTTAGAGATTTATTTTTGATAGTTAAATCTCGATTTTAGAAAAATACCTTCGTCAACAATATTGTGAACATACCTGGCATTTTCGGTTCTACGTGACTCTTTGGGCTGCGTTTCACGTAACTTCTTCTCAGCCAATGGCACTTACCAGTTTGGGGGCGCTGGCTTCTTAGATTTTAACAACGCCGACGGTGCAGATTTTCAAAGGGCCCATCAGTGGCTCTGCCGCAATAAGTTTAGGGACAGCGAATGTGCGGTCACACCATCCAGACCGGGGTCTCCCCGCTCGCTGATCCACATCGCACGACTTACTCTGTAGTTATTTGTGGTCAGGTTTCGGAAAGTAGTCGGTCGCCTTCATTTTGCCTTCATCTGAGCTTCTACTTAGGAAACTTCCGGACTCTCTCTGTCCCGGGCAACTACAATGCAACGTAGCCCTGCTTCGGGGACACCTCGGGAGTGCAGCACTGTTGTGGGGACACGGACAGGAGTGGCACTTTATCTTGAAAACCCAGGTCCTTGCTTTCATCACGGTTGTGTTTCTGGGACAATCCGGCTGGTCAGCAGGAACAATCACGGGCCCTGGAGACGGCATCGGTTTTACGGCTAGGTGCCGACGCTTTATGGCCACACTGGGCGGGGTGGGGGGGGGTGGGCATGGAGAGAAGCTGGCACGCAGTAGGAAAAAATTCACTCTGTGAATGCTGTGTTCACTTGACATCCGGGCACCCTGCCCTGGTTGGCGGTGGGGCTCCCAAGTCCCGGGGGCTACTTTGGTGCAGGCCCCGGGTCTATACATGTGGTCCCGACTGGAGCTTTTCTTCATGTTCAGTTCTACATATTTATTGAAACTGTTGTCCTTTTCAGCCAGAATAGTGTAAATGGTGTCTTCAGGGTTAGTATTTTAGATAGTTTTCCGCTGAAGCGCTGGAGCTGCATCGGCCGGGGGTTCCCTGCAGCGGCCAGGGGTTCCCTACAGGCGGCCAGGGGTTCCAACCTACAGGCGGCCAGGGTTCCCTGCAGTGGCCAGGGGTTCCCTACAGGCAGCCGGGGGTTCCCTACAGGCGGCCAGGGGTTCCCTACAGGCGGCCGGGGGTTCCCTGCAGCGGCCGGGAGTTCCCTACAGGGGGCCAGGGGTTCCCTACAGGGGGCCAGGGTTTCCCTACAGGCAGCCAGGGTTCCCTGCAGTGGCCGGGGTTCCCTACAGGCGTCCGGGGGTTCCCTACAGGCAGCTGGGGGTTCCCTACAGGTAGCTGGGGGTTCCATGCAATGACCGGGGGTTCCTCACAGGCAGCCAGGGGTTCCCTGCAGCGGCCGGGGGTTCCCTACAGCAGCTGGGGGTTCCCTACAGGCGGCCAGGGGTTCCCTGCAGCGGCCGGGGGTTCCCTACAGGCGGCCAGGGTTCCCTGCAAAAGCCGGGGGTTCCCTACAGGTGGCTGGCGCTTCCCTGCAGGCATGGCCACCGGCCCTGGGGTGGCCCTCTTGCATGCTTGTGGCCCCGTTTCCTTTGTATTCATGCTTGGCTATATGGGAGATGCATCGAAAATAGCTTTATTTGAAATACAAGATGAGGCTTGAACTCTGGTTTGCAAAGAGAGAGGAAGCCTGTTACAAGAGGCGGTTCACAAGCCGTCATGTGCTTTACGAGTGCCCTTGACCTCACGTAGGCACAAGTAGTCATTTTAGCATTAACAGACATCATATATTTTTAGAATTTACTTGCAGCATTTATATTTTGAAGTATACATGAAATTTCCTATTTTATCATTCAATCCCAGGTCAGACAAAAAGGGTAGCTTTAACTGGCTTTTTTAATAAGATCACATTATCAAGCGATTGTGCGAATCCGATGTTTTAATGATTAGCGGGTGGGTGAAAAGTCTGGGTATGAAAATAATTCTCAGTGCTTGCTGCCGGTTGGAAGAAACCAGACCCAGGACTGGCAGGTCTGAGCAGGGGCGCGAGGGCCTCCCCAACGGGGCTCCCGGCCGCCCACAGCCGCTCTGTGGATTGTCACTTGACGAGGTTTCCTAAAACAGTACTGGTCTGAAGTCCATGGCCGGTTTTAGAGAAACAGTCCAGGCCGGAGTCCACAGTTCACGTTCACCGAGAAAGCGAGCCACACGGTTCCTGGAGGGCTGACCTTGTGCCCACATCACAGGCCTTGGGACGGTTCTTAGGGTGTGTGTGGTTGTGTGAACACCCCCCCAGCACTCCTTGATGATCTCTACACGGGATGGAAGTACTTTCCAGACATTCCCATGTGGGGAGGGGGTTCTGATCTCCCGAAGGCCCCAGATGGAGCCCCAACATGTGCACGTCAGAACTGACAGCTGGTTAGTGAGGACTTAGGATCATCTAGGATTAGTCTAGGCTTTAACTTCCTGTGTGACTCATTGGTGCAAAAAACCGTGGTGGTAGTTATGCCCTGACCCGTTTCCCGCTTGTTCTGACTACCAAGGAGGAACCTCGGAAGCTGCACCTGCTCGGCGGGCAGGCTCAACTTTGTTCCTTGTACAATCTCGTGTAACGGGGCAGGACCGATGGAAGAGGTGGCTTCATTTTCTTTTAATCTTGCGGGTTTCGAGATTAGAAAATGGCATATTTGCTCTGACACGTTTGAGAAGACAGAAAGTTACGTTGGGCAGAATTTTTTCTTCTTTTATAAATTCCTGTTATTTTCAAAGCGGAGCATGTTTTGTGAAAACACCTATGTACAATTTAAAGAGCAAGAATAAAATGAACGATGGTGTACCTACCGGCCAGGCCCAGAGTCCCCGTGTGTCCTTAGGGGCTGACCCCGCCCCTCCACAGAGGTGACTGTTTGCAGCGTGCTGTTCCCTTGGTCCGTGTGAGGGGAGGGGACTCACACAACACACACTTTGGCATAGGATTGTTTTGAGCTGAAGACCATGAGGCCGCAAATGCAGAAGGAGCTTCCTGCCCCCCACCCGCCCCGTCCCCGCTAAGAGTGGGACATAAACTTCCCCTTGAGAAGGTGTGCCCTCCTCTCCGCTTCCAGGAGCAGAACCCCGTCCACCGCGTCTACCGTCTACCGTTGGGGAGGTGGGTCTGCACAAGCCTAAATCCTCCATCATGTCCCACACAAAATTCCCCAGTAGGGGGCGCCCGGGTGGCTCGGTTA